CCTAAAATGGCGTACTGTTCGCCACAGGTGAAACATGTGACAATTTACGTCCAAGTTATTCTTGTTTTGAACAGAATTTTATGTCAATTTAGCTATGCCCGGAGCCATGGCTGTAATTTAGTACTTTGAGTTCTCATTGTGTAAAAAATCTCTCCACAAAAAAAAATTTATATGGGCAATATTGCCAATTTTTTAATATTCCATTTTCAAAAAATCAGCTTTTTTGTTTTTGTGGCACATCTATGATTTTTGGTACACATATAGAGAAAAATGTTCTGACTCCGAAACCGTTCGCGATCAAATTTTTGGTTGATGCGCGCAAAAGTTATCGAGGTTTTAATTTTGGGCATAAGAAAAAAATCTTAAAATTACGCCGTTTATTATATTGACCAAAAACGTTGATATATATCTTCCTCCGTAAAATAGGAATATGAATATATTATAATAATCACGATACAGGTGCACATATTCGCGAAATATGAAAAAAATAAAAAAAATATAGCAGATTACATCAATATTTTCATTATATTAATGACATACTCACACCTAAAAATTAATTTAAAAATATCTACATAATCTAAACACGATGGTGAATCAAATGATATCAAAATCACAAAAGTCCGTGTAGCGGTTTCTAAATCAAAGCGACAACAAAACAAGATATTGAGGAAAAATATTTGTTTTTGGTTCGAAAAAATAATGTCATCATATTTATTTTTTTAATTTTATACAAGAAATTTCAGAAAAAAATGTTGGGGTTATTCTGATATTTTACCCGAATATCGCCGAAAAATTGACATATATAATAATAATCACCTTTTGTGTATAAGTATACGCCTTGCGGATTATATCAAGACCCTTCCGATAAATCTTAGAATTCTATAAATAGGAATAAATCTTAAAATAAAATAATATTATGAAATATACATTTTAAATTGCGTCTAAATCGCGTAATTCTCAAAATCATTTGATGCTCATGCGGTCTCCAGGAAGTACTGAAGTTTATCTTCCAATCCATATATATTTTGCGAAATTTCATTTGACGGCTAAGATGTGCCACACGTTGCATTGAAGTACCCAAAAAATCGTAAAACGCGAATAATTTCCGAAAACTTCATATGCCATTAACGCGCATCCGATTTCGGTGTGCACCCTAAAAAAATACATCGATCTATACCGATTTCAATGTGGTCCATTAAGAACCATGGATGTGCCAGCTCACACTATTTTTGAGATAAATTGCGTCTAAATTGCGTAATTCTCAAAATCATTTGATGCGCATGCGGTTTCCAGGAAGTACTGAAGTTTATCTTCCAATCCATATATATTTTGCGAAATTTTATTTGACGGCTAAGATGTGCCGCACGTTACATTGAAGTACCCAAAAAATCGTAAAACGCGAATAATTTCCGAAAACTCCATATGCCATTAACGCGCATCCGATTTCGGTGTGCACCCTAAAAAAATACATCGATTTATACCGATTTCAATGTGGTCCATTAAGATCCATGGATGTGCCAGCTCATACTACTTTTGAGATAAATTGGTTACATCTCTCTTTCGGCTGAAGTTTTTGAAGTTCTCTTTTCGAAAAAGATCAAAATCTGTATGAGGTCATTTATTGAAGCGGAAATAATACACAGAAAACGCAAATAAATCCGCGATGTTTTCAAAAACATTTTTTGCCAAATTTCGTGTTTTTGGAAGGCCAGTTCCAGACGTTCTAGTAGATGAATTTTCACGAAGAAGATTTTATATCATCCGAAACGTAAAAAACCTTATTGATAGCGGGTACCCATATCATTCAGTTGACAGATCTAAAAATTTGGCCCGAAAAATAGGTTTTTTAGAAATTTGATCGCACAAAATTCGCACCATCGGATGAATATAACTCTGAAGCTGTGCATACTATATACACAAAATACATATCAAATTACGCAGATTCGCGACTACAATAATCTTATAATCGATTTTTCTAAATTCCTGTTTGCGTATTAAAGCTAGAAGTAAAATTAAAAAAACACTCAAAATCGAGCTTCAAAATGTCAGCAGCATTTAAAGGTAGACGCAGTTAAAATTTTGAAAAATGATACATAAGGGGCGTAGTCCCCATTTTGTTGGCTTCTAGCTTTATTTTGACACGAAGACCGTGCAATGAGTGGCTTAGTCACAAATCGATAGAGAACATAAAAAAACTGGTTCGCCTCAACCTGTTTTTACACATTTTTTTACATTAAAGTAGACACAGCTTCCACCAAAATAAAGTTTGGAGTTCAATATCATGAACAGTTTGCACCGACAGATCATGGGGTTCTTGCGCGCCGTTTTCAACCGAATTCGCTTTGTTTCGATTTGCACGAAATTTTACATAGTGTATTGAATTGAATCTTAAATGATTTGTGTAAAACTTCGTGGAAATCGGTTCATATTTTGATATAGATCCGATATATATTTTCACCCGATTTAAGGTAAATGGTGTACCAAAGTCCCTGTATATATTTCGATTTGTACCAAATTTGGCATAGCGGAATGAATTGAGTCTAGAATGATGTGTGTTAAGTTTCCTAAAAATCGGTTCAGATTTAGATATAGATACCATCTATAATTTCGTCCGATTTAATGTATATGGTGTACCAAAGCTCCTATATATCTTTCTAATTGCACGAAATATTGCATAGTGTATTGAATTGAGTCATGAATGATGTGTGTAAAGATTCATGAAAATCGGTTCAGATTTGGATATAGCTCCTATATATATATTGTTTTCTCCGATTTTAAGTATGTGACACACCAAGGACCCAAAATATGGCCGATATGCACAAAACGTGCTGAAATTAGTATAAACTGTCCTGTGACAAATTTCATTGAAATCGGTCGAGATTTAGATATAGCTCCCATATGTAGTTTTGTCCGATTTATAGTTAATGGTGCACCAAAGACCCAATGCTAGGCCGATTGCCACACAATTTTGCACATTGTACTGAATTAGATCCAGATAAATGTATGCAAAGTTTTGTTGAAATGGGATCAGATTTAGATATAGCTCCCATATATATTTTCGTCTGATTATAAGTAAATGGTGCCCTAAAGACCCAAAGTTAAACCGATTGACACTAAATGTTGCACAACGTACTGAAGGTAGTATAACTAACGTGAGGATTTAAGGTAAATGGCTTTCAAATAATCAACGAATATCCGATTGAGATTTTCTTTAAATCGATTTACATAAATTTTTCTCATTTTCTATCTATCCAAATGAAGAGTTTGCTATGACATGCTTATGGATTGATTTAAATCATTTAGTCGGTCCGTCCGACTTTAGCACTTTCTTTTTTTATTTTGTAACTATAAAATGTTAATACTGGTCATATTTTCTCTTATATGTTCGAGGCTGGCATACATGTGTGGAAAAAAATTATTAATTTAGGCTAAGGTTTGTACATAACCCGCACAAAAAAAGTATCGTTCTATTTTTTGATATTTTGCAGGTTTTGGCCGCATTCTTCCCTTGGAGTGACAGTAATACTGGCATTTCGGGTTTCTGTAGGGTGAAACACATTTAAACGCAATTTTCTACATAGGTATGTCTATGTTTGGACATAGCCCCATATCAATTTCTGTCAAAATTGCGTACTTTTAACGTATTTGAAAAATATATTCGCCGAAATTTTTCGATGTACGCAATTCTTTTCGGTCATATTTTAGGCCATTGTTTTGACAAAAACCAGATGAAAGTCCTAGCCGAAGTTACGAACCTATGTGCCTGTAAATTGGGATTTTGTTTTCTCAAGATTAGCTCAATAAAGCACCCATATAATGTTCGTTTCATAGTGAAGAATATAAAAAGTTGGCATCGGCGAACTTAATGACTTGTTAATTTGTGTTCATCTGCAACAAATTCTCCTGGAGTGTATTGTCTTCGGTGGACATTTAAGCGTATATTTACTTAGCATGTTAAATAGTGATGGAAATTTTTTTAAGACATACAAAACCTATCTCAATAAGAAAATTGTTTGACCTAAAACTTATTTTTATTCTATTAGCAGCTTGTTAGGCCATGAACTTTTCAATTGACCCATTCAGTCAGCTCAAATTCAATACTAAGAAAACCCACCATATCATTTTCTTTACAATTAGTTCATAAGAAAAAATAAAAAACGAATACGTTAAGTGCCTATCAAAAAACACTTAAATCACAATTTTCATAAATTCGACAGATGGGCGTTGAGAGAATTACGAAAGCCGAAAAATTAACGTAATTTTTCATTTTCTTAAATTGCAAGGCATCAATTTATGGTCTTTTAATGATTTGTTTGTTTACACCGGCCTGACTGCCTGCCTGTCCATACATTAAGACGAGTAGCGTAGTGCTGCCACAGGCACAACGTGTCGGTGTTGGTACATATCCGGATGAATGTTTATATTTTCTTAACCTCTGTTAATGGGTCTGATGTGGTTGCAGCTACCGCCACATCAAGTAAATCGAAGCAGGTCTGCGTGTGTGTCTGTAAACATAACACAACATCTTGTAGATGGTGGGATGGATGGGTCGAGGTGATGGATCGACTAGCAGATATTCTTGGTATGAATGTGTGATTGAACCGACAGACAGACCAACCGACCGACATACGTACATACATTACCAATCATGTTGTCAGTTTGAGTATTCGAAGATGTGTCAATTAAATGAAAATTCAGTATTTCTGTGGGAATTCTTTACTCTCTCTCTGTTTGTACACTTTTACATTCACACACAAATTCGGACACACACCGGCACACCAATCGAACATTTGCATATGTCCATGCCAAGATTCGCGTAATAATTGTTGGACACCATCCAGTATTTTTAATTGGTTTAAGAATTTATGTACATTCTGAAAGGAAATTTCTTTCATTTTGGCCCATTTACATAAGCATGTGAAAATTGTATTTTCGAAAAACGTCTCCTCTTTCCTTCAACGCCTTAAAACATACATGTCTTGTTTTTTTTTTCATTTCAGACTTCTCCCCCGGTGCTATTGAATGGTGGAATTTTAATATCGTCCAATGTCAATTCATTATCTTCTCAATCGTCATCATCATCATCAGCAGCATCTGCAATAGCATCATCATCATCGTCGTCAACGTCAGCAGCCACAACAACAGCAGCAGCAGCAACAGTAGAAACAAATGACGTCAGCAAGAAGCAAATCGCCGCTGATACGACTATGAGTGGAGCACTGGGTATGCAACAGCACAGCCATAATTACAATTCGTCCTCATCAGTACTAGCGCCTCAGACAATAACGCTTGCAAATAATCGGTAAGTTCCATTTCTGCTTAAGTTTTTTTGTTTTGCAAAAATTTTCAATTTGCCTTGTTGTTGTTTATATTTATATCTTAATTGTTCAGTTGCCTTGCATTATTACTTTTCATTTCCATTCAATGGCATTAATTTGAAAAAAAAACATTCGCTGTAGTAACCCAGATATATAATATGTTCGGAAATTGGCAATTTAACATTAATCAATAGTAACAAAATAAAATAGCAATGCATTTCATTTTTAATGAAATGTAGGAATACCCTATGATGACCTGCACTTAATTACCTGCAAATAAATGCATGCACTTGTGTGTTTGGAATTATCACTGGCTAACAATGCGGAACTCCAAACACTAGTAATCACACAAGCTACAATAGTTCAATTA